GTCCTCTTCATAGTTTTATGAGAGAACCTTCATGCCTGTAACTCAGAAGAAACATTAAGCACTTTTTGGAGCATATCTCATTACAATTGGGTCAAAACCCTGATCTGAGTTTCTGAAACTGGATTTTTCATAAGGGTGACTAAGGCTGGTTGCTTGTCCTGGGAGAAATTATGAAGTTCAGGCTCAAATTATTTTGTGCAAAATAACTTTTATTTTGTAATAAAAATGATTTGAAATGGCTTTATAATAGCCATGAGAAGGGCGTCATGGCTCCTGCTGTCTGGGTTGTCCAGCGAGGCGCAGAACTCCTTACACGACCTTCTGTTGGATGGCAAGGCCCTGTTTGTGGAACAGACGAACATGAAATTTCCCGGCCTGAAAGATTCCCGCATAACACTAAAGACCCTTGGCCTCTATGTTCCAGCCTCGGCCAGGACCAAGTTTAAACCACAGCAGGTTCCCACCCAGGCCACCCACTCTAAATATGAGCCCCCTTATGAAAAGTCAAGGGACTGTAAAAAACACCCGTAGAGGCAATCCTGGTCTGCGCCCCAACCTGGGCCCTCCAAGGGTAAACAGGCGGGAAAGCGTCAGTTTTGACAGGACACCCGGGGCACAGCAGGGATCCACCCACAATAAAGCTTCCCTTCTCCAACCGATTGTGTGCTTTTCTCCTGGAGTGATCATGGCTGACCTCGGACCGATGGGTCCTCAACATCGTCTCCTGGGGCTACATCCTCCAGTTTACCTCTACCCCACCCACCCATCCTCCATCCCCTGTCCCTCCTCAGGGACCCCTCTCATGAGACCCTGCTTGAGCAGGAGGTGAGGCAGCTCCTTGGCCTAGGAGCGGTGGAGGTGGTACCAGCGGAGTTCAGACGCAAGGGGTTCTACACCCGCTACTTCCTCATTCCAAAGGCCAAAGGGGGCTCAGGCCCATCCTGGACCTGCGAGGCCTGAACCAGTACATGGTAAAGCTCAAGTTTCACATGGTCTCCCTGGCCTCCATCATCCCCTCCCTGGATCCCAGGAACTGGTACGCTGCCCTCGATTTGCAGGACACGTACTTCCACATTCATATATTCGAGGGACACAGACGTTTCCTCCGTTTCACGGTTGGGCGGGAACACTACCAATTTACGGTCCTTCCGCTTGGCCTATCCACTGCTCCCATGTGTATGTCTGTGGTAGCAGCCTACCTCAGACGTCTGGGGTCCAGATCTTCCCCTATCTCGATGACTGGTTAGTCAAGGGCAGCTCCAGGTCACCGGTATGAGATCACGTGGCACTCCTCCTGTCCATGTGCACCAGTCTGGGCCTGTTGGTAAACGACACCCAAGTCCACGTTAGTCTGGGTGCAGTGCATAGAGTTTATTGGGACAGTTCTGGACGTGATGTTGGCCAGGGCCTCCCTCCCACAGGACAGATTCGAGACCCTAAGGGAGCTCATCAGCACAGTCACAAGGTTCCCTGTGACCACAGCCAGAGCGTGCCTCCAGCTCCTGGGTCATATGTTGGCGTGCACATATGGGGTTCGCCACGCCAGACTCAGGATGCGGCCCCCTCCAGCTCTGGTTGGCCTCGGTGTTCTCCCAGTCCAGAGACAGGACGGACAAAGTCCTCACTGTGCCCAAACTGGTGATTGCCTCTCTGCGATGGTGGTCCTACCCGGGGAACATGCTCCATGGGGTCTCATTCAGGGGTTGGCCCCCGTCCATGGAGCTGGTGTCCGGTGCGTTGGACCTGGGGTGGGGAGCCCATGTGGGGAATGTTCAGACCCAAGGTCTGTGGTCCGCGCGGGACCTTGCCCTGCATGTAAACGTCAAGGAGCTCATGGCGGTCCGTCTGGCATGCGTGGCCTTCTGCTCACACCTGGAGGGCAGAGTGATCAGGGTTCTCACAGACAACACAGCCTCGATGTTCTACATCAACAGGCAGGGCGGGGCCCACTCCTCTGCCAGGAAGCCCTCAGGCTGTGGGACTTCTGTATAGCCCATGATATTTGCCTGCAAGCCCACCAATTATCAGGCGCCCGGAACTCTTGGGCGGATTGCCTGAGCCAAGACTTCTCCTCTCAGCACGAGTGGTCACTATACCCCGAGATGGTGCACAGGATTTTCCAAATGTGGGGCACTCCCCAGGTGGACCTGTTTACTACACAGCAGAACCACGGGTGTCCCCACTTCTGCTCTGGGGGTGGGGTTGTGGTTGGGAGTGGGTGCCATCTCCAATGCCTTCCTCCTGTCCTGGTCGGGCCAGGTTATTTATGCCTTTCCCCCAATCCTGCTGATTGGCAAGGTCTTGGAAAAGATAAAAACAGACAGGGCCCGGGTCCTCCTGATTGCCCTGGCATGGCCCAGGCAACATTGGCACGGGACTCTCACAAGCCTGGCAGTCGCCCCACTGTGGCCGTTGCCATCCCGCCTGGACCTGCTATCCCAGGACCAGGGCTGCCTCCTCCACCCCAACCTAGCGGCATTCCACCTCACGGCGTGGCTGCTCAATGTTTAGGCAGGGAGGAGAGGACTTGCTCGGAAGGGGTTTGACGCGTCGTCCTGGAAAGCAGACGGCCTGCCACATGTCAGGCCTACCTGGCAAAGTGGTCTTGGTTTTCCCAGTGGGCAGCCCTTTCAGCCTTCCACCCGCCGGTGCAGGGCCATACGGTGTTCTCCTATGCCATGACTGGCAGATTCCTTAAGGGTTTGGATCGTCTCTTCCTGTATGATAGGCCCCCAGTCCTGCAGTGGGACCTGAACTTGGTGCTGACCAGGTTGACAGGTCCCCCATTTGAACTGCTAGTTACATGCTCCTGGTCGCATCTTTCATAGAAGGTAGCCTTCCTGATGGTGATCACATCCGCTAGATGGGTCTCGGAGCTCCAGGTTCTGATCTCTGAACCCCCGTACACGGTGTTCCATAAGGATAAGGTCCAGCTCCGACCATATCCTTCGTTCCTCCCCAAGGTGGTCTCCGCCTACTGTATGGGTCAGGACATTTTCCTGCTGGTGCTCTGTCCCAAGTCCCATCCAATGAGGAGCGCCACCTCCACATGCTGGATGTGAGACGGGCTCTGGCTTTTTACCTAGAACATACAAAGTTGTTCAGGAAGTCCTCGCAGCTGTTCATCACCTCTCATGTGTTCGGCTGATTTCCACTCAGCTGTTCTCCAACTGGATCACCTCGTGTATTCGTATCTGTTATGACGTGGCGGGAGTCCCCCTGCCGCCGATTGTGATGGCGCACTCGACTAGGGCGCAAGCCTCATCAGCTGCATTTTTGGCCCATGTTCTCATCCAGAACATTTGTAGGGCTGCCACATGGTCTTTGGTTCACATGTTCACCTCGTATTATGTGATCATCTCCCAAACCAGGGAGGACGCTGGGTTTGACAGGGCTGTACTCCGTCCTGGATGTCTGTGAACTTTTACCCACCTTCAACAGATATAGCTTGGAATTACCTATTGTGGAATGCATATGAGCAATCACTCAAAGAAGAAAAGACAGTTACCTTTTCCGTAACTGGTGTTCTTGGAGATGTGTTGCTCATGTCCATTCCACATCCCGCCCTCCTTCCCCTCTGTCGGAGTTGTCTGTCAAGAAGGAACTGAGGGTGGGGGGAGTGACGCAGTGCCCCTTATACCGCGCCATAGTGGCGCTACTCCAGGGGTCGTTGGGGCGCTCCCCTACGGGTACTGCTAGGGGAAAGACTTCCGGCACCGGTGCACGTGGCAAGCACGCACACCTATTGTGGAATGGACATGAGCAACACATCTTGAAGAACACTAGTTACAGAAAAGGTAACTGTCTTATTTCCAATATGCTAATCCAGACCCAAATTGATAAAACTTCATAGCAGAATCTTGTTCATAGTGGGCTAACTGATTTACTAATACCATGATTTATGGTGCATAGTGTTTGTCATGACAGACATGGCTATGACAAACACACAGCTATAGATCTGACTATCTGGGGCCCTTCACAAACCAGTTAAGGCTTGGTGATTTCATTTTTAGAGCTAAATTTTCCAAGCAGATCCACTGCAGAGATATCAAATAAGATGCTTAAATGGAGAATTATTTTAGCTTCAATATGTAAATGGAGATCCTTTGGGCCATTCCTTGCTCCAGCTAGGGATTTGCAGTGGCGCAATACATCCTAGGCATTTAAGTCTAGCACATTATTGATTTATATTCTATTGTCTGAAGCTCAGCATAAATAAAAACGAATTCAGGTGAAATAGGTGACCAAGCCGTAGGCTGCAATCTTTTCCCTGTTATGTTCTGTTACTATTTTTATTAGGAACTGTTTTTTTTAGTATAAGACACATTATATAAACCTCTTATAATTGTTTAAACTTTAAACAGTTGTTTCAGAATTGTTTAAAAATGAAATATAAACATAATTCAGCACACCAAACAGCGGTGTGCAACATTAGGCCATTGGGACACTTCTTGGGTTGCTGAAGATTTCAGCAATTAGCCTTGTTTTTTGCCTGCTCCTCAGGTGTGCACCCATAGCCTACATATACATATCTTATTGTTACTATATTGGCAGTTTGGGGCAGATCTAATTCTGTTTACATACATTTCATGTGCTTTAAACTGGACCTATTTTGCTAAATTTTGCTAAAATTTCAAAAGAAAATGTATTACCTCTCAGCATGAAACTCCGATATATTTATTAACATGTATTTGGCATAATCATTTGAAATATCAGAGTTCTGGAACGAACAAAGTGAATATTATTTTATTTTAAACTTTAGAACAATCTTGTGCATAAAGTATTATTTATATATAAATATTTATAATATTCACACTCCAAATCTTGTTCATGAGAGGGTTACATACAAAGGTGGACTTCACCTAAATATGCCCAATACTTTCAATTTAAAGTGAATTTGTCAGTGAAGAGCATGCACCCCTGACAATAACTTTAAGTACTGTCAGCGATTTTAATTTACAAAAATCATATTCCAGTTATTTCTTTTTTCCTCCCTTTAGATCTGTAGTAGTTTCACTTCGTCTTCTTCCAAAGTTATTTGGTACATTTCAGCAATTTGGGAGCAGTTATGATACACATTGGATAACAATGTAAGTAAAAATACCTTCTCTCACCTACCCCCCCAAAAGAAAGGAAAGTGATGATTGCCAAAGGGCTGTTGATAGGATAAAGAGCCTTTCACATCTAGATCACATATTCAAATCTGGTCCAGGTCTCAGGTTGATTATTACTCAAAGTCATTACCATCTGGTGGCCTATATGAAATGAGTTTGATGTCTTTAAGTTCCTGATGAGCAGATTTCTTCATTAGATAAGCTTTATCAGAGCTAAGGCTAATGTTTGGGTGGATATGCACCTTTAGATCCCCCTAAGTGGACTTGCTATAGAATGCTGGAAGTGCATTGATGGGGACAATGTGGGTAAGTTTGTATTGCCAGAAACTGTGCTGTACCTGTTCTGATTGTAAATCCAATCATTTTGAGCAATGCAGAATTCACTAAAAATGTTAATATTTTTAAAAGTAAAGGCTGTGTAGTGCTGTTCTGCCTTAGGGGAAAATCAGGTTCAGTTTTTTGTCTCTGAGCTGGCAGAAGTTTTGAGTGCTGCAGAGGAAGCATACCTGGACTTTTTGCAAAAAGAACAGGAGTACTTGTGGCACCTTAGAGACTAACAAATTTATTTGAGCATAATCTTTCATGGGCTACAGCCCACTTCTTTGGATGCATAGAATGGAACATATATTGAGGAGATATATATACACATACAGAGAGCATGAAAAGGTGGGAGTTGTCTTACCAACTCTGAGAGGCCAATTAAGTAAGAGAGAAAAAACTTTTGAAGTGATAATCAAGATAGCCCAGTACAGACAGTTTGATAAGAAGTGTGAGAATACTTACATGGGGAGATATACAATGTTTGTAATGGCTCAGCCATTCCCAGTCTCTGTTCAAGCCTAAGTTGATTGTATCTAGTTTGCATATCAATTCAAGCTCAGCAGTTTCTCATTGGAGTCTGTTTTTGAAGCTTTTTGGACTTTTTGGAAAGGTAGTGCTTTATGTCACTCATCAGCAACTCCTGTAGCCATTTACACCTTTATTCAGCAAGGTACTTAAACACATACCTAACTTTTAAGCATGTGAGTAGTCCCATTGAAGATCTTAAGATTGGTCTATAAATATTTGGCTAAAATATAGTTTGTCAGTGAAACTACTATTGATGTTCTTAAAGTTAGACACTTAAATACTTTGCTGAATCAGAGCCTTACAGAGCAATGTTGATGGGCTCTGAAGGAAGTTCCATCTGTTAGTCCTAGGCCAGAAAATGATGGCCACACTATGGAGCCTTAAGGGTGAGAAGATAGAGCAGAGAAACGTAGTGGAGATGTCTCAAGATTCTATAAGTGATGGGGCACACCTCCAGGCATATGGAAAGTGGATTGTTAGCTTTGTTAATTTGCACATGAATTTTCCTACAACATATGTCTCATTTAGGCAAAATATCTTTTCTCTTTAAATTGCACAGGTGGGCAGAAAAAGAACTTAACATGATGAAACTCTTCTTTGATAATTTGATACACTACATTCAAGCAGTAAGGGAAGGACGACATAAACATGCATTGTAAGTATAGTGTATGCATCTAATTTTGTGAGTATTTTATATAATTTTATAATTTTAAACTCATTTTTCTGTTCTTCTCCTTATGGCAATTCCTTCTGAGACCATTCCCTTTTTATTATAATAATTAATTACCCTTGTTGGGGAAATGGAGGTGCAAGAAAGATGACCAGTAGGAAGACTTGCTGCAACCGTATTATGTCTTTAGCCAAATATTTATAGACTGATTTTAATAAGATCATCCTTTGTGTCCCATATTAGCATGTTAAATAGCTGCCTTTAATTTTAAAAACGTGTTAATCCTTTTCACTCTTTCTAAGAGTGATCCTTGTTAATCATTATTGCTTTGAATGTTTACATTTACTGATACAAGGTAAAGAGTTCTTTACAGAAATTGACCAAAGGCATCTAAATTAGTTTATTTAAAAACCTTTAAGGTGTTTCTACAAATTTTCCTTCTGCTATAAAATCTCATTAAGATAGTACAGTTAGCTTCAAGTGCTAAAACTTTAGTGCCCATTTTCTAACCTGGGTGCCTAACATTAGGTACCTCAGTCTATTTTTAAACCTAGTTAAAAGTGGCCTAATTTATAGCAGTGCTGAGCACTTGCAACTCACAGGATCTGCATCTATGAAAATCAGGTCACTTTTATTTATGTATCTATATATTGATATAGGTGCCTAACATTAGGCATCCACATTTGAAAAATTTAGCTTTCAATTAGGGTCTAATTTTCAGCTTCACGAAAACCTTCATCTGCATATACAAATCCCATAGTTAGAGATCTATGTGATGAGTTACAATTTTAAAGACTGGTTTGAAACTAACTGAAAATTTAGCCTTTTATGTGAAATAGTTCATTGTTGAAAACTAGGTCATATATTGTTCTCCTCCTCTCTTTTACTTTAAATAAATATGCATCTCATAATAGGTGGGGAATATAGTTAAAATTTGTAGGCAGCACTTGCAAAGATTGCTGCAAGAAGAGTAATTCATTTTTATGTAATGATTAGAAGTTCAGACATTTCTGAGCATTTTGCACGTGTATTAGAAATTTAGTGAAGGCCCCAATCTGCATGGTGCTGAGCAGATACAGTTCTTATTAAAGGTGCATAAAGTACACACAAAACTCGCCTATTGCTCCCCCACCCCCTGTTCTCTTTTTCCAGTTACTTTGTATTGTGCTACAATCTGTATGAGTGGGGTTTACATTACTTCCTGAACTTAGTTTGAAGTTTTGAAAGTAGTTTTAAAAAATTAATGAGAAATTATTTTCTTATGTTTGCTCAAGTTTGTGTTTGTGTGCGCGTGCGCGCAGGGATAAAGAAGGATTGATATAAGTAATTAAACATTTGTAAATGAATTAAAAATATGTTTTATTTTAAAAATATTCAAATATAGGTACAGCCACAGTGCAGAAGTTCAAGTGCGTCTTCAGTTTTTGACATGTGTTTTTTCAACTCTTGGATCACCAGATCATTTCAGTAAGTTTTTTTATATTGCCTGATAATTAATATCCATCCCTTGAATTTTATCATTAAACATATCTACTTTTTAACAATCTGATTATTTTTTAATTAATATGACCATTTTTTTTAAACAACATCATCAAAGGTTAATCTACAATGCTGTACTTTGAGAGGAGGATAGTCTTGTAGCTAAAGCACAGAACTAGGGATCAGAACTTTTGGATTCTATTCCCAACTTTGCTTGGTCATGTCATTTAACTTCACTGAGACTCAATTTTCTAACAAATAGGGATGATGATAATTAAAATTAGGATAATAATATTTCCCTACATCATGTGGTTTGAGGTCTTTGGATGGAAAGTGCAATATGAGTGCAAAAATGTTATTTATTTTTATGTGTTAATAAATTAGTTTACAAGTGGTTTTCTGGAATAATGTCTTGTGTGCTAAATAGTGGTAATATTTGGGGACAATTAAATAATATTTTAGAATGAAAATGATTAGTATACAAATTTAATTCCTATAATGACATTAGTTTATTGAGTTAGAACAGCAATCAGTGAACTCTGATTCTAATGAAGTTATGGCACTTAAACTAAAATATGTGTGACTGGATTAAGTATGAAGGACAAACATGCTGCTCATGTATCCATTCAGAGGAAAAGCAGGCCTGGGGGGGCAGAATTTATTTAGCCGCAAAGCTGGATTTTCAATGGAAGATTGAGATCAAGGAGCACTTCACAGAATAGTTGCACACTATTACAGTATAGCAAGACCAAGAACTTAACGTGGCAGCTGGAAACAGATGCAGACAAAGAGAATCTGGAATGTGAGATTGAACTATTGGCACTACTTCCCTGAAGAAAATTAATACAATCACAATAATTAATTAAATAAACTTCCACTTCCGTGTCATAACATAAGAAAAGGCTGGAGAATAATCATTCTGTCTAATTAATTGCACTGCATAATTTTGTTGGAACTTGCTGATGAGCACATTAGAAGCACCTGGTCAGACATGTGAACAAGGTGTTTCAACAGCAAGAAAGAGAGGAAGGGGGATGTACTAATTATTGGCATTCTCTTTCTAACAGCACCAAAGAAAATGCAACTCCATACACAACAGCAAATGAAAATGAACAGTAAGAACATGCTACTGCTTCCAAATAGTGAATAAGCCTAGAAATTCTTATAGTAATTTATTTTCTAGTATGAACAGTCAAGATAAAGCATTAAAAATACTCCAGATGATATCCCACTTGGCTGTCCAGTAGTCCGTTTATCGTATTTGGATGAGGCAGCCTCTGATGGATAAGATCTGCTGCATAGCATAGCTAATCCGGCTTCTGTAGTTATAGTAATAAACTCTCCTAAAGTTAACTTCATTTCAATTTAAACTAATTTGATTTTTTTAAATGTAAAATCTATTGCTACCAACATAGAGGGTCTGTATCTTCCCCAGGCCTAATACCAGATTACAGGGGTGAAGAAAATATGAGGACTCTAGATGGTTCTGCAGTTGCTTTGCCCCAGTCTTCAAAATAACCTTTCCCCAAAAGATTAGAGTTAGAGATAAGATAGTAGTTAGTGAGAGTGTCAGTAATAAGTGATACTTAGTTAACCACTCATTTTGGTCAAACCATGCTTTTAGTAACCATGTGTTCCAGCTAACAGTGTATAGGCTGCAGCTTTCCAAGTACCTTCTGAATCGGCATGATCAAAACTAGCCAAAATTCAAGAAGATATTACTATTATTGCCACCTGCTGGTATGGCTGTGCTGTCACAGGACCAGATAATCCTGCCTCAGTCTGTTCGATTTGTCCAGGCAGTACAATAGATAGAAAATTCCTAAAATTGAGAAAATATTAATTCTGAGTGAGCGCTTGTGGATAAATAGACTGTTCACTTTTAGAATTGTTGTGCTGATCAAGACTTCATGGGTACCATGATGTAAGAAAAGAAAGGTTACTTAGCTGTCAGTATGGCACAGGACCTCACAATTTCTCTGTGCCTCAGTTGGTCATACTCCAAGTTCAGATTCCACCAGTGGCACTCTAGACTCTTTCCCCTCACAGTTCATCTGTTATAGGTTGTCTGTGAATAAAGGTGACCTCAGGATGGCACAAAGAGAGGGGTATTTAGGAGCCATAATATCAATAGTCAAGGGCAAAAAATCAGTATAACGTCCTACAGTGCCATTGATAAAATAGTCCACAGTGTTCTCCCTTGAAGAAATCTACAGCCTAACCAGGAACACCAGTTTCTGAGTGCAAGCCAATGAAGTCAAGTTCTTTGAGAGCTAAGTTGGGTATTGATCTCCCCTTGAAGGAAGTAACAATCAAATCATGACAAGGATATAATTCTTAACCACTATCTCCATTCCCAACTCAAAAATGAAGTCCAGAATGTGTCTAAACACATTATAAAGTGAGAAACCTCCTGCAGTTTGATAGGAATGAAATCCTGAGTGTGTGTTTGTATGGATATTCACATCATCAAGGACAAAAAGCCATGGCAACTCCTCAGTTCCACGCTGCACAAAAATGCCAGAGAAAGAGATGCCTGTCAGTTGATTGCTACATATGGGAGATAAAGGGTTCTGCTGCTAGTAGATATATTTTTAAAACTTACCATCCTGACAAAGACTTTTATGCCTTTTCTACTTGTCCTGTTTTAGATAGAATATGCAAATTTATCTGACATTATAAAGAAGCATTTAAAAACATTTTATTTCTAGGATTGAGTTTAGAACAAGTGGACATTTTATGGCATTGTTTAGTAGAAGATTCTGAGTGCTATGATGATGCATTACACTGGTTCTTAAATCAAGTACGAAGTAAAGATCAGCATGCTATGGGAATGGAAACCTACAAGCATCTTTTCTTAGAAAAGGTATATGAAAACAGTTTTTAATTTAACTTCATTAATTTGAGTTTAAATTTTTTTGTCTGTATCAAAGTGATTTTAATATATTTAAAGTTACTTCTGTGGGGAAATCCTGCCATTTCTGCAGCAATGGAAGGCGCCAGGTGCAATGGAACTATTCCTCTGCATTGTGAGGTGGAAGGCAATCCTATTCAGGTGTCCATCCCATCCCCCCTGCCTGCCACAGATTTCTAGTCTGCAATGTCTCTCTGTGCATCTCGATGGAGTTGGGTTTCGGGACAGACCAGAGCCAAGCTGAGGGAAGGGGAGGTTTGCCAGTATATGGATCTACTATTCTTGCCTTCTGTGGAGCAGAGGCACAGGAGCAGCAGAAGGCTTAGGACTTTAGTAGTGGCTGTAAATTGACTGTTACTGCTCCACTGACTTTAAGGGAACTCCTGTTCCCTGCCACCCTTCTTTCTGACACACCCACTCCCTTTTTTATATAAAGACAGTTACATCTTGGTGTGTAATTCCGTTGTCCGTATGTACCCCAGTTGTTTTTAAATCCTGAAGAGTCAGGTAAGTTAGCAAATTATCCTGTTGCTGACAACTGTTTAAGTGCTAATGTTACAGTGCTGAAAATGTTGCCCATTCTAAACAGTTTCCAACACCAATTCAGGGGGTCCATTGGGGAGCATTGTCATTATTGGTGGTTTTCTCTGTACAGTACAAAGAGATTCACATCTTTTGCTAAAACAAAACTTGACTGACCTTACAATTTTTAAGTCTGTTTTGGGGTGGCAGTGAAGTTCTTGTGTGTTTTGAGAGAAAAAATGCCCTGAAATCATTGCCATCTCTATCATTGTCAATTTTCTTTTCATACTAAGGCACATTTATTTTATTTAGATGCCACAGCTAAAACCTGAAACTATTAGTATGACTGGTCTAAACCTGTTTCAACATTTATGCAACTTGGCCCGATTGGCTACCAGTGCATATGATGGTGGCTCAAACTCAGAGGTAAGTATTGACATCATGCTACAATTTCCCTTCTTCCCTAAAATTAAGTTAATTCTCTGTACATTTTTTTAGCTATATCTTAATATCCTTAAGGCTATTTAGTGAGAGGTATTGAGCATGAAGTGGCATTAAATCACAGCCCTGTATGGGGGGCAATGCAGATGTCCACTCTAGCGAGAGCTCTAGGAACTATACGTTTTCAGGTGTATGGGGGACTGTGACTGATGCCCCACTTCTTCGTGCATGCATGCATTCTCCTTCATCTGTTGTGGAGAGGGGATTGTGACTCCACTCTGTGCTTTCTGGCAAGGACTGCAGTTATGTGGGTTGTTTTCTGATTTCTCTGGGTAGGGGATTGATGAGAGTCCACAAAGAAAATGCAGGCTGCTTCTGTCCACCCCATACTGCCTGTTAACGTCTACAGGGTTTTCCCACACTGGCCATAAATGAAATGTGTTAAATAATGTTTGTTTAGTAGGTAAATCAGAATAGGTCTTTGTGATGTTTACAGTTAGTAATAATAAATGCATAGCACATGATAATCTTCACGGACTTAACAGCATATTCATTTTGATTAGAAGTATGTCATGATATAATATGTCTTACATTCATATAATATGCTGTAGATTGTAGAACATCTTGTCCTGATAGATTCTTAAGGTGTTTTTACACCATAAAGCACCTCAGAAATGTAACCATATTTGAAGTGGATGTTAGCAACCAATTGACACACTGATCAACAGTGTCCTGTGGAGAGGAGCTGTGTGGATGGGCATGTGAGAATTTTGATTGAATTCACGGATGCAAACCTCTGTTCTTGCAACAAGTGCCATGAGATCTTTAATGTTCATGTGTGCCAGACAGGACCTCTGTTTTTTAAGGTCTCCTCTGAAAGTATTTCCATTTATGAAAGGTGAAAATTTAGCCTCCTGAATTTCACGAACACACTTTCTCTCTATGATTAAAAAAAAAGATGGAGGATGGGGAAGGTGAGATTTTAATGCTGATAATACAAATAGCTTGTAGATATTCTGCAGTGAAAGATATTTTTAAATAATAAATTACTTACAGTGCATGCAAACAATAACAAATCAGAGACAAGATAAAATAAGTCAGTCATCACAATTACATCATTAAAGTTTCTGTCATGCCTATTAGGTACAGTTCTGTGTTGGGATGGTGTAAAACTATCTTCTGGATGGGGCGATCCCAATGGAAATAAGCCTTTTGGAAACCAAATTTCTCCTGGAGATCCCCCTGGGATGTGACAGCTCCATACCATTCCAACATGAAACTGCCAGAAAAGAATGATAAAGTCTATAATGATTTAATTGCAGCTGCAGGTAGAATTCCTCCATGCCTGCTACTACACCTTTACACTGGGTGTAGCATGCTAGCCCTTGCATACTGGTCTTGCCTTGCAGGCTAATGCAGAAAGAGAACAGGACTGTGTTCCTTTTGGGGTGGTGTTTGCCCACCAGAACACTAGGAGAGACCAGTCGCTGCACTATGAAGTCAGGAAATATAATTTATGACAAGGCTTGTGTGTGGTATGCGAAGAGAGTGAGGAGGCTTTTTGTATACTCTTTCCTCTCCCCCCACCTTTCTGTGCACATATATAAGAGCCTGTCAGAATCTGGCCCAAAATGTTTATATGAAACGCTTGTCCTAAATACTAAAAGCTACTAAACATGTTGGAAACTGTTTTTAAAAAAAAATAAAAAGAAGAGAAATAGTTGAGCTTGCTTATGAAACACATTTTTAATCATTGGTGGTATTTCACTTTCCGTTACTGTACTTTACATTATCTTATATGTACAGTGCTGCACATATTAAGAACAAAAGTGGTACTCTTCTTATAAAATATCCAGGCTGAATTTCTTGTAGTGAAAGTTGTGTTTTGTGCTGCTGATGTAGTAAATAATAATAATTTTGAGGCTTATATCCTCTAAGGCCACCTGCTGACCTCATTTCTTCCATTTGTTTCTATCTCCTCAGTATAGTAGGCCAAAAAGCCCAGGTGAAAGGCCAAGAGGTACTCCATTTGAGAGGAGGCCCTCTCAAGAGCCACAGGAAGGAGCTTTACCATAGTTGCTCCCAGCTTAAAGACTTCTGTTTTGTCAGCAGAAAGGTCATAAAGGACAGCACATTGGGGCTTTTTGTCCTCCCAACCACCCAAGGCACATCCAGAAATACCTTTGCAATGGTGGGTCAGTCCTTCTTGGGATCCAGCAGCCAGGTCCTTCCTCAATGATCAGAGAATTAAGTACAAAATTCTTTCAGCTTCCTCCATCCGTACAGTCTACCTTGAAGGTGAAATGGTGAAAAATATTGGTCTCCCCTCTCATGTTCTTAGCTGGTTAGTAGATTCCCTTGACATTTGTTGTGACTCTTCTTTTTTTACCAGGAGAAGAATCTGGGTTCCTGTAGGGAGTGATCTCCTGCATTTCCTCTCCAGTTATACATTGGATAATGGGGAGAACACACGGATTCAAAGCCATCCCTATGAGTTATCTCTCAAATGGGAGCACCAATTAGGACAGATCCTCAGATGCGAGGGAAAATCCTCTAAGAGGCAAAAGGAGCAAAAAGTCTCCGAAGACCAGAAAACACAAAAAATGCCAAGACGCCTTTCAGATACTCATCTTATTCCATTAGGTTCTATCTGATCCCCTGAAAAAGAGAATTGTCAGCTTCAGACCATGATAACACCATGCCAGAGATTAGAAGAAATTCTAATCCATATGCATTTAAGACAATGGGGAGAAAGGTGGTGACCACCATCGAGATTTCATCAGGAAAAAAAAGAACCAAGTCCAAGGGTAAATAGCTCCCATCCAAACCCAAGACAAAATTTTCCATCTACCTTCACTCCTCCTTTGAACAAGTCATTGTGAAGGAATAGGAGACTTATAATAATGGGGAAAGGCTCTGTTAGCAAGTCATTAAATTCTAATTACTCCCTCTTCATACTCCCTAATGTTGATTCAGAAGGGGTCATGACAGAAAACTCTGCAACTCCTCTGTGCCTTTTGGGTTTATAATACATGGAAAGAAGAACTCCTTGTTCTCTTCTTAGAGGGCCGTCCACCTTGGCTTCAAAATAGACACAAGAAGAGTCTGTTTTTCTGACAGAGCAAAGTTTCAGGAAGATCCCGATCAGGTGTCCTGCATTAGAATATCATTCATTTGTTTTGCCTGTAACACCTAGATCTTCAGGTCTCTTGCATAAAGTTTACTCCATGGGCAAGACAGTTCATGAGAGATTTTCAGGGATTGCTCTTAAAAGTCCTGGAACCATTCCCAAAGAGAGATGCAGAGCAAATTAAAGATGCCATCTAGAGTAATTATATCCCTCAGTTTGGGAAAACAGAAGAACCATGGGATGGTAGCATGCTCTAGTCACAATCTGTACACCAAAGTTCTGACCTCAGATGTGGCAACCTTGCAGGATGGTGAGCTTACTTGGGCTGCCATGATATACAGGAAATGTTGTCAGAAAGGCTCCAGAACATCAATTCCCAGAGGTGAGAATTGGTCATGATAATTTTTCAGGGTTTCCAGGATCGCTTGAGAAAGGAGAACAAGCACATGACACAATGACTGTGGCATACACAAATCAGCAAGTGGGCACAAGATCACATAGCCTCTATCTGTCTGATCAACATAAGATACAATGTACAAAAATGCAGACTAAAAAACTGCTGGCAGATACATAACTGAAAGTGGTCCTTAAGCAAGAATTGTTGCAGCTGATATCTAGGGAGCCCTCCAGGTGGATCTGTTCACATCCAGTGAAAACACAAAGGCCTGTTCGTACGAACTCGTTAATTCTTGTATTATAGTGTATATAGTTTTCTGTTCACGGTCCACTATGCCATCACTCAGCAGGCCAAAGATGACGCTGGGTTCGGAAGAGCTGTGTTGCAGTCTACACATCCGTGAACTCCTACCTACCTCTGAGGGGTACTGCTTGGGTGTCATCTAAATTGAATGGACCGGAGCAAGCACTCAAAGAAGAAAAGACAGTTATCTTTTTCTGTAACTGGTGTTCTTTGAGATGTGTTGCTCATATCCATTCTACAAACCGACAAGAAGGAACTGAGGGTCGGGGGAGTTGGCAGCACCTTGTATGCCGCAGCATATGTGTGCCACTCCAGGGGGCACTTGAGCTGGTCCCCTACAACTGCTGCTGAGGGAAAAAACTTCTGGCACCGGTGTATGTGGGAAGCACACACACCTAAGTTGAATGGACATGAGCAACACATCTTGAAGAACACCAGTTAGGAAAAAGGTAACTGTCTTATAATGGCTCACAAATAGATGATTTGTCTTCTGTGTCCCTTGTTTCCCCCCCGCTTTCCGCTAGTAGAAAAATCCAGAAGATTAAAAAGGGGGTCAGTTAAAAGTGGCCAAGTATGCTGTCATACTCAAACCTAATGTAGCTTTCATAGAGATCTTTACTCCATCTCTCCAGCAAGCCAGGATCTCCCATTCCAGTGTTTGCTTCTTCATCCCACTTCAGAGTAACTGGGACTAACAGTTTGACTATTGAGCAGCCAGTTCTATAAACAACATGGGATATTCTTCTTTGAGCTTTTTGCAGGCCTTGCATCATTTTTGCTTACTCAGGAGTTTACACAAAGTTCTCTGATGGGTGCCAAGATACAAATATTAACTCCAAGGAATCAGGCGTTCCAGCTTCCATGGATTTCTTTCAGGATGACTTAGGCTTGGCTTTAAGATCTTCTACCATCATTTCTGATAGTCTGACTGCTGAATAGTACTATCACTTGAATGAGCTTAAGTTTTGGATAGATAGCACAATGTTGTCGAGGTTCCTTAGGGCAGCATTTCTTTCCAAACCAATAGTCAGACCTATCTTTACTATCTAGAGTTTGCCTATACTGCTTCAGATGCTCATGTCCCATGCATTCAGGGCTTGGCCAAGTCCCACCATTCTGTGGGAGTATTTCCAGTACTAACAGGAAAAGACGCAGTGTAAGTGTGTCAGACTGGGGGAGAGATGGTTCCCATTAGGAAAATAATCACATGATAAATTTTTCATTTGTCTTAACAGTTGTGTGGTATGGACCAATTCTGGGGCATTGCTTTAAGAGCACAGTCTGGTGATGTCAGTCGAGCAGCTATCCAGTATATCAATTCTTATTATATTAATGGTGAGTTCTCAGTTTTATTTACACTGGTGTACTAAAATCCAAGGATATTGTACAAAATAATCTTTGTCATTTTTTGTTAAAATAAAATCTTTTAAAGAATATTAGTTTATCTTGTTTTAATCTTGAATACTAAAACTTGCAGTTTTCAGTACATTTGTCACATAGTTATTTAAATATCTGTCTGCAGGTAAAACAGGTCTGGAAAAAGAACAAGAATTTATTAGCAAGTGTATGGAGAGCCTTATGATCGCTTCCAGTAATCTTGAGCAAGACTCCCACTCAAGTCTCACCATAATTGAAAGAGGACTTTTAATGCTAAAGACACACCTTGAAGCTTTTAGGAGAAGGTAAACAATTTCTTCAATATATTTTGAGTTGGAATTTATTGTCATTTATTTTCCTATCATTTGTATCAAATAGAAATTTGAGTTGAGTGAAATAATGAAAAACAGAGATGTAAATTTTTCATTTGGTTTCCTCTGTGTAAAATGGGGATAATAATACATACTTTGCAAATATTTTGTGTGAGGCTTAGTCTGTTAAAGGTTTTTGGCAAGGAAAAAAAAGATGGTTGCCCTCATTTGCTGTTTTATGATTAGGGCCCTATCAAATTCACTGTCCATTTTGGTTAATTTCATATCATAAGGTTTTAAAAATCTTAAATTTCAGGATTTCAGATATTTAAATTTGAAATTTCATAGTGTTGTAACTAGGGGTCCTGACCCAAAAGAGGGTTGTGGGAGAGTTGTAAGGTTATTGTAGGAGGGTTGCAGTATTGCCAGCCTGCCTTCAGCTGGGCTGCCGGAGAGTGGTGGCTGCTGCCTGAGAGCCCCACTCTGAAGGTAGCACCACCACCACCACCACCAGCAGCACAGAAGTAAGGATGTCATGGTATGGTATTGCCACCCTTACTTCTGCGCTTGCTGCTGACGGCAGCGCTGCCTTCAGAGCTGGGCTGCCGGAGAGCGGTGGCTGCTGGCTGAGAGCCCAGCTCTGATGGCAGTGCCACCACCAGTAGCAGCACAGAAGTAAGGATGGCATGGAATGGTATTGCCACCCTTAGTTTTGCGCTGCTGCCTTCAGAGCTGGGCCCTTGGCCCAGCAACTGCTACTGTTCGGCCACCCAGCTCTGAAGCAGCGCAGAAGTAAGGGTGGCAATACCATACCATGCCATGGTGCTGCTGGCTGCGGTGCTGCTGGCGGCGGCACTGCCTTCAGAGCTGGGTGCTTGGCTAGCAACTGCCACTGTCCGGCCACCCAGCTCTGAAGGCAGCACAGAAGTACGGGTGGCAATACTGTGACCTCCCCCCCAAAAAGCTTGCGACTCTCCCACCTCCCCTTTTTGGGTCAGGACCCCCAGTTTTGGAAATGCTGATCTCCCGCGTGAAATCTGTATAGTATAAGTAAAAGTACACAAAAGACCACATTTCACGGGGAGAGACCAGGTTTCATGGTCCGTGACGCATTTTTCACAGCTGTGAATTTGGTAGGGCCCTATTCATGATGTATAAAAAAAGGTGGAAAGTGCTTTTTTTGTTTTTGTTTTTTTAAACTTAAGCAATATCAGGAATACAAAGTCTTGTCTTTTCTTTTTGTGTTGGAATCTCTGCAAGACCAGAGAAGTGGGGTTGGGACCTTTCTCAGCCTTCTTGTCTTCCTACTGTTTGTCAGGCTTTTGAGTTAAACAGATGTTAACAAAAACATGTAGTGTTTTTATGTGATTTTTATATGCTTCTTAAGGTTTGCGTATCATCTGAGACAGTGGCAGATTGAAGGCACTGGTATCAGCAGTCACTTAAAGGCACTTAGTGATAAACAGTCATTACCACTAAGAATTGTATGTCAGCCAGCTGGACTTCCTGACAAGGTAGAACTTTGGTTTTCCAATTGGATTTTATTCCAAGATCATTATGTTTCATAACGTTCATTGTTCATTCTGAAAAAATGTGCGCATTATGTTTCAGATGACTATAGAAATGTATCCTAGTGATCAAGTGGCAGATCTAAGGGCTGAGGTTACCCATTGGTATGAAAATTTGCAGAAAGAGCAGATAAACCAGCAAGCTCAGCTTCAAGAGTTTGGCCAAAGCAGCCGGAAAGGAGATTTCCCTGGTAAGTTATACAATACTCTTAGCCTTAGTTTGCGCTTGGCTCACTGATCATGCAGAGAGGTTGAAAGATGATGTTTATTTGACAGTAGATTAGGGTATCTGGGGAAAAATAGCACGTATCACTGTTGGTTTTATTCCATGTGCTCCATTTATTTCATAACTAGCATCAGCCTGTCACACTTAATTATTAAACAGTGCTTTGCAAATGTTACCATTTCTTTTAAAGTAGAGAGAGAAAATTCAGAAGTAACAAGGGATATGCACTACTTACACATGGTTTTTCAAATCACATGATTTTTATTACTTGTAACTTTTCATTCTTTCCTTCCACCATTATCTTCTCCTTTCCCCATTGCCATTATTGTTTTTATTCATTTTATTCTGTCTTATTTAGTTAGTAAACTCCTCTGGGTCGAGACCCATCTTACATTTTGTGCCATGTATATTCATGGCTCTGTATATGTAAATAATTAGGATTCAGAATGTATGTTGGGCTCACAAATATGTATTTAGCTGCCATTCAAGTATGAGTACCTTTACTGCATCTTTCAGTCTTTTTGCAACTATGTTAAAATAGTTAATTTATTACTGAACATCCTGTTGCCAAATTGATCGTTTATTCTGCTCTTCCTTATTATCCTCCTTCAAAGCTCTCCGTAAAGCTCTCCTTTTCCAGGATGCCTACAAAAATTTGACATTGTTTAGGCTGCTGGTGTGCTGAGACCATAGCCTACTGTGCAGACCAATATTGTCTAATTATTTCCTTGCAGTCCCAGTCTGTATCCATCTGGTGTCTCTTGTTTTGTACTTAGACATGAGCTCTTTGTGGCAAGGACTGTTTGTTTGGTTTGTGTTTGTACAGCATCTAACACAATGGGGTCCTGGTCCGTCACTGGGGCGCCAACTAATAAATATTAATAATTGTACATGTTACACAAATGTTTACTTGAGGACAGGATTTGGACTTGTGTGATGCAGTTGATGATACCATTTTCTCATTAAATAGGAATATTTTAATCCTTTTTTTCCCTTACTTATTCCTGATGTTAAAGAAATTTGATTATTTTAGCCATGTCTGTTTAAATGGTATTGTAAAGCTGCTACTAAAACCAGCCCCTGTTTATTAGGAAACTCTGAAATGGTTGCTCTGTCATTCTGATTAAGGTGGAAATTCAAGTTGTGTTCAACAATTCAAGTTTCAGCAAAATTAAAAGCATCCTCATTCATGGTGACAGAAAATGTAAACGTTTTCACTATCCTCCTGCTTATCGGGCCAAATCCTGACATCCTTAAGTAGTTTTTTTGACTCAGTACTTTCACTGGGGAGTTTTAGCAATTGAGTAAAAACTGAGCAAGTATTTCAGGAGTTGACCCTAGTACTTTAACTTTCACATGTGTGTGCATATCTTTTATTCTTTGAATGATGGGCTCTATTGTATTCCACTGACGGTAATGCTCAAGTGCCATGCCCATGGAGCTGGAGCTTTTCAAAGTAGTAGTGTCCGTCGGTCTGCGCATGCATCCTTGTATCACCTCATGGTTTCACCCGAGGCGATAAAGGGAAGGGCAGACTAACTTCGCTTTCAGTCCCTGCTCAGCGCTGCATGTTCAGAGTTGGAGCTTCTGCTGTTCTTTCACCCTTGGTGATGCACTTTCCAATCTTTACAGAAAAACTGTTTTTATTCTTGTACATAGTCAGAATTTCTTAGTTTTTGTGGTAGTTTGTGTTTGTAGTAGTTTCTTAGGATTAAGGACTTTGGGACTCTGCTTTGGTGGTTTCCTGCCACCCACTTGCCCCTTGCCCAGCACTTATGTCTATGTACTGGATTATGCTGTACTTCCTGCCCTCGCTCGTTTTCGATCAGCACCAATGCTGTCTGTACTGCTTGGGGGAAGCCCACGTTGCATCTAGGTGCAGGATTTGCCTCTCCTTCCCTCCACCTTAAGAAGCACCTCATTGAGGTAGCCATGGGGCTGCAGTTGGATCCTGGCCGGGGAACCCTCCCTATACTCCTGCGCCTCCTACTGCAGAGTCCCAGTCCGGTTCAGCTGGTACCAGTGCTATGGATCCTGCACTGGGGCCTAGCCATGAGTCACAGAAGCATGGCAGTAAGTCTTCCTCCAGATCCAATAAAGATGCTGCATCGTCCATGAGTTCCAGCCATGGAGGAGCGGTGTGTTCCAGCGCCCACAAGAGCGACAAGAAGCTGCATTGCTTGATGGATGTGCTGGTCCTGGTTCCTGGGCACCATACTCCTCCTGCATCGGTTTCGCCAATGTCTCGTGAATAGTTGGTCCCGAGACAGGTTCCCTTACCAGCTCCGGTTCCATCCGTGGACCGAGTGCCATTGACTCTGGGGAGACACCAGTGTGTTCCTGAACCTCATGAACTATTTGACCTGGAAGGGATGTGGTCTCCACGTGCTCTGGTCCATTCACCTGCTTGGTTGGCCCCCTCTCCTACATTGGATCTGCTGCCCTCTGGCCACCCTGCGATTGCTAAGCATTTATAAGCCAGCGTCCAAACGAAAATGTTATTGCCCGCTGTCTACACAACTCTATAGAGCTCCCCATTTCTACCACCAGCGAGCCTTTGAGCCTCCACAGAAGCACCCAAAGGTACAAAGGTCTCATCTGCCTGGTCCACCGGGGCCATCCTCCATGCAGCACACTCTGTCTTCTCATAAGCAATATTTCTGAGTGCATCTAGGGCGCTGTCAGTCACTTTGCACTCCAACACTCTTGCCAGCCACCCTTTTCAGAGGTCATCTCAAATTTTCTGCCATCATGGAGCATGATAACAATGGACAAGTGGGTTCTGGATGTAATTCGACGTAGCTATAATGATTGAGTTTATGATGGTACCTCCTCCACATCCCCCAGAATGGTCCCATCTCAGGGACCGCTCTCATGACAGTATCCTTGCCATGGAGGTGGACTTCCTACTGCAGAGAGGAACAGTAGAGCCAGTCTCTGCAAACTTTCAGGGCACAAGGTTCTATTCCAATTATATCCTGGTATCCAAGAAGAAGGGAGGATGGAGACCAATTATGGATCTCTGATGCCTCAACTGTTCCATTCGCAAGCCAAAGTTCTGCATGGTCACGCTTGTGGCCATCATTCCCTTGCTAGAAAAAGGCATGTGGCTTACGGCTCTTGATATGCAAGACTCCTGCTTCCACGTCGACATCCACATGACCACATGATAGTTCCCGAGGTTCACGGTGGGTCCTCTGCACTTCCCATACAGGGTTCTCCCATTCGGACTTACCACTGCTCCAACAATCTTTACATAGGTTTCCGTGATAGAAGCTCACCTTCGACAGCAGAGAATACTCCCCTACCTGGACGCCTGGCTGCTGGCAGCATGGTCCAAAATGGTAGCTCAAGAATCGATTTCCCAGCTCCTTCTACTTCTCTGCTCTCTAGGAGTGAGTGTGAAAGTTGAAAAATTGACTTTGCACCCTACGCAGTCCCTGGAGTTCATTGGCGTACTCATCAACCTCCACATGTGCTAATCTGCTGAAGGACAGGTTCCAGACACTACTGGACCTGATCACTTCAGTGACATCCAACCCCTCGGTCTCAGCCAGAACTTATGTCCCCCTCCTGGGTAACATGGCAATGTGTACATATGTCAAAGCCTTCACTCGATTCATGGCTTCTGCTGTCTACAACTGTGGCTGCTCCCCTATGCATCTGTCCATGGACATGCTTACCATTCCACAAGAAGTCATCTTTTCCCTTCAGTGGTGGACAGATCCACTCCACGTTTGCTCCAGAATGCCCTTCCTCCCGTCCTCTCGAAGCGTGACGAATATAAAGGATATGTGTCACTTGACGGCTGGGGTGCTCACATGGTAGATCACATGACACAAGGAACTTGGAACACTCGGGAACCCCGGATGCACATCAACACTCTGGAACTTAGGGTGGTACGCAGGGCATGCCATGCATTTTTACTGCCCATCCACTCTTGTCATGTTCTTATGTCAGACATCGCCACTGTGGTTTATTACATAAACAAGCAAGGAGGGACAAGGTCCCCAGCACTGTGTGTGGAAGTGGTACACCTCTGGAAGTGGTGCGATGCACACCATATCCTATTGTCGGTGACCTGTCTCCCAGGGAGTCAGAATGTGATTGCCGATGCACTCAGCAGGAATTTCATGTCTGACTATGAATGGGAGTTGGGTGACATGGTAATCACGGACATTTCTGGTTGTTGGGGACCCTAGTCAGTGATCTCTTTTCCTCTCATGGCAACAGCAAGTGCATCCAGTTACTCCTGGTGGCATTCTGTGCCAAAAAAATTAAAATTCTGCACACAATATTTTAAAATTCTGCAAATTTTATTTGTCAAAATAACACTACATAATCATGCCAGTTTCAATTATTTTGGTAATTTAATTCAAAATACCTGTCAGCAAGTATGTCTGTAACAATACAGACACACACATGAAAATTCCCCCAGGAGTAGAGTTAAAGAAACCCCTGTGGCAGCCCAGTTACTGTTTCTCTCTCCCTCCCCCCAACCCCGAGCCCAGGGATCCAGAGGAAGAAACAGCCTGATGCTTGGTAACAGGCTTGTATGGAGTTTCCTGCACGCCACTTCTCCTTCCGTTAGGGCATGCTGGTGACTACGGCTGCCAGGACCTCTCTAGCTCCCTCTCTGTCCCCCCAGCAATGTCTTCTATGTGGGAATTGCGCTTTGCTGGGTCCAGTGGCCCCTATTGGCAGCTAGCAACAGTGCAGCACATTTCTGTGGGGGAAAGAAAATTCTGCACGCATGATAATTTCTGCAAAATTCTGCATTGCGCAGGGGTGCAGAATTCCCCCAGGAGTATACATTCTGTTCTGCCTGAGGGGACAGAGCCTGCCCCATTCCTACCTCCTCAGAAACACCCCAAAGCCCTGCCCATCCACGCCGAGTGTGCCACAATAGCGAGCAAGAGGGACCAAGTGTTACTCTCACACACACGACTGCCCATCTCCTCTCCACCCCCTGGCAGTGATTTTACGTTTCTGCCAGCTGCTCCGGGCGCCCAAACCAACTTGCCTATGCTTCCAGGGAGGGGCACGTGACTGCTCTTGCAGCTTCCCTTTGCTTTCCCATCAGAAGCCATTTTTCTGCGGGGAAACAAAGAAATCTGCGGGGAACATGAATTCTGTGCACGTACAGTGATGCAGAATTCCCCCAGGAATAATCAAGTACTGTTCCAGGGGAGGGCTCGGTGACAATTCACAGGGCAACGCCATGGTTGTTGACTGGTCAGATAGAATCATTTATGCCTTCCCTCCCCAACCGCTCCTGCCCTATGTCCTTCACAAATTCTAACGGGAGAGAGTGACGGCCATCCCGATCGCCCTATTCTGGCCTTGCCAGTTCTGGTTTCCAACTCTTCTTTGCATGTCAAACCATCCTCCACTCCCGCTTCCGACGTTCCCAGAATTGCTCACATAACACAATGGCAGGTTCAGGCACCCTGATCCACGGACACTTCATTTGGGGGCTTGGTTTTTGGATGGACACCTCCACTGGCACGGTAATGTTCGTTGGCAGTGGGAAATGTCCTCTCGAGTAGCAGAAAGGACTCCATGAGATAATCCTACCAAGCCAAATGGATATGTTTCACTTCCTGGGCCCAGCAGAAAGGTCTTTCTTCTGAGGTTGTGGGCATCCTGATGGTCTTAGACTATTTACTGTCTCTGATGGCCTCAGGGCTCGCTCTCAGCTCCATCAAAGTGCACGAATTGGCTATCAGTGCTTTCCATCCTCCTGTGGAGGGGCATTCGGTTTTCATTCACTCTTTGACTGTCTGATTCTGGAAGGGCCTTGTATGCAAATACCCTCCTGTTCAGCCTATTGTTCTTCAGTGGGACCTCAGCCTAGTCCTTATGCCATTGATGAACTTGCCCTTTGAAACTCTGGCCTCTTGCTCCCTTCCTCTTCTTTCCATGAAGGTCGCTATTACCTCTGCAGGAAGGATTGGTGAACTGGGGCCATGATTGCAAATCCTCCTTTTACTATCTTCCATAAGGACAAAGTTTCACTGCACTTACATCCCATATTTCTACTGAAAGTGGTTTTCTGCTTCCACCTCGACCAACCCATACATTTGCCCACCTTCCTTCCCAAACTGTACACCTCAAAGGAGGAACAGCAGCTTCACTCCCTCGATATACATAGGGCCCTGGCCCTTTACGTACAAAGGACAAGACCATTCTGGAAGTCTCCTAAACTATTTGTTTCCATAGCAGAGAGAATTCAGGGGCAGGCCGCCTTCACTCAGCAAATCTCGGAGCGGACTCCACAGTGCATTATGCTCTGTAATCCCTTGTCATGGCAGTCCCTATCAGGTGGGATATGGGCCCATTCCATGAGAGCATAAGCATCAACTATGGCCCTGGTCCATGATGTGCCCCTTATGGACATATATAAGCCAGCCACATGCAGTTCAGTACACGCCTTTTTTTCTCACTATGCCCTGGTGCAAGACTCTGCGATGGTTGCCTTGTTTGGTACATCGGTCCTCCGTTCTATGGTTCCGTCATCTTCCTCGCACCCTCCTCCTGTCTAGGTACTGCTTGTTAATCATCCTCCGTGGAATACACTCAAAGAGGAGGTGGCTACTTACTTGTATTCCAGTCCCATCTTCCTTCACCTTTGCTGTGGATTTGGTAGATTAGTTGTGGAGGCAAACTGAAGGCGTGGTCGGTCCGCCGTGCCCGTTATTGCCTCTGGTGAAACCATGAAGTGGTACCAGGATGCATGTGTGGACCGATGGACTCTACCACTTTGAGAAGCTCCCGCTCCAGGTGCATGGCATATGCACATAACTCTCAGTAGAATATAGATAGGGACCACGCATCTCAAAGAACCTCCTGTTACAGTTAAGTAACCTCCTCTTCACTTTTGCTTTCTTTTTAATTTGCTCTATTTATGACTGAGACTGGCGCCTTGCCACACCATTTGGCACTTTCAGTACTCTGTGACCTTTGCCAGCCCCATTTCATCACTGTTTAGATGGTGATTCTACTGGCAGGGTCTTTGCTTTTGACAGAGCCTAAGCCGTTATTTCACTCCAGCTTCTGCCTGCTATAAGGTCAGAAGTCAGATTCTTTCTGATATTCACAAACAATGACTATCTGCCTTAGCAGATGTCATCTCCAATTCACATTGTCATAATTATAAGTAAATTTTACTAGAGAGGTTGAAGAAGAAATTATGAACAAAATATATGTTAAGCAGCATATAACAGAGTGAGACAAACTATTCATTGTGGAAAGTCAGCAGTAGATCGGCTCTAAGCTTGGTTACACTGTTTGCTGGTTTTCCTGCAGGTGGCCTCACTATGTTCTCAGGCAGGGGCTGCACTGACCAATGCAGCTTGGAAAGTGAAACCTTCTTCTTATAGCAGCATGTGTTAGAGCACTCATGTGCCCATTCTGTGTTCCCACGCATACCAAAACAAGGCTACAAAAGGGGAGGAATGGTTCTCTCTGCCACCTGCGTTCCTTCCAGTCTTAACAGCAGATAGATGTGAACCTTTTTGGATCCTTCAGACCTGGATCCTTCATTTATAGTGCTTTATAGTAATTTAATGGTACACACTTTAGGGGCAATTAGAAGAAAATGTCTATGGCATTCACACTTAGTAAAACTATCAGTATTTAAAATAAATGCTTATAGAACAATTTTCCAGCTCTGGAAGAACTTAATGAAAGTTCTTTCAAGGTGAATTTATCTATTATCTCTCTTCCCTTCCTATAAGACAGATTTTTTTCCCTTTGCCTTTTTTATTACAAGATATAATTGAATCATATTGCTAAGAAAGTAATTAAGGACCTGATTCAGAGGTCAATGAAGTCAGTGGAAAGATTCCCATTGACTTCATGGGCCTTTGGGTCAGGCCCTGAGAGGTTACCAGGAAGCGGCTTTTTGAAAAAATTTTCAGCAGATGCAGTATCAATATTAATATTAATTTTACTTTTAAAGATTATGCTTTTTAAATTGCCAATGAAATTCCAGTAATTCACTATGTTGTGCTTTATTGTAGGTGGTCTCATGGGACCTGTGAGAATGATTTCATCTGGGCACGAACTAACAACTGATTATGATGAAAAAACACTTCATGAATTGGGCTTTAAGGATATGCAGGTATTATCAGTGTAAAAATAAGACAAATATAAAAAGATCATTTGGTATGCTGCTTTTGTCATGTGATGACCAGTAAGTGTATTAGGTGGTAAAATGTAAAATTCTCTTTGGCAATATCTGTTTCCTAAAACCATTGTATTGTTTTCTGCTGTATAGCATACATCCCCTTTACACCCAAAATAAAATTACAGTTAGTTCCTATTAACATACATTTACATTCTATTGCTCTATTGCCTTACTGTTAGTAAAAAGTAGTCCTGGTTTAAAAAGCCACATTCTGGGTCTATTAGTAGATGTGAAGTAGTACATGCTGAAGGATCAAAGTAAAATTTGGAACCATTTATTTTTTGTAGAAAAAAGCAGGGGCCGGTGAAAACAACATCAGACATCAAGATTTTGGCCAAATGGTCACAACTGTTTGATTTTTATGAACAGGATAGCATCTCAAAGCATTTTGTCATGAGAGCAGGGAAAAGAGAGCCATTGAAGCTGTCAAGAGCCTCCTTTCTCCCTTTTGATGCCCAAATCCAGAGCATCCTGTAAATGAACTCATAAAAGTCTAGAATCCCTATCACATCTTTATTTATTCTAAGGCCTATCAAGGCTTGCAGCCCAGATCAGCCTACTGCCCAGGACATGAGCAAGCTTCCATAGAGTGTGAATCCAGGCCCAATGCCTAAGAAAGATAGGAATGTCTACTTTGCAGGAAGGAGGATTAACCTTACAACCACTGCAGATTGGAGGACCTGACCTTGCACAACCCCTCCCTTCGTCACTCCTCCCTGCCAAAGAAAAAGACAACTTTAGAGGATCTGACCACCTAAATTTAGCACACGTTTGAATTAATTATTTCTTAATTAATCACTCTGCTGCTGCCACTTCTCATACTTACCATGTCAGGCGAAATCAAAGTAATCTCCAGTGCTGCCCAATGTATGTCATTTTTGAATTGTGACATTCTGTTGAAACATAGTTAAAGGATCAACAGTGAAGATACTAATGTATCTTCCAAAACCATGTTCTTAAGTCTATTCTTATTTATAAGCTGTCTCTGGTTTTAAAAATGGTCATTGTAGTTGTGTTGTTAAAATAGTCTCTATGTCCTCCTCCCCCCCTTGTTTCTAGATGGTGTTTGTATCCTTGGGTGCACCACGGAGGGAGCGAAAAGGTGAAGGTGTTCAGCTTCCAGCATCTTGCCTACCTCCTCCTCAGAAGGACAACATTCCAATGCTTTTACTTTTGCAAGAACCTCATCTTACCACCCTTTTTGATTTGTTAGAGATGCTTGCATCTTTTAAACCTCCTTCTGGTGAAATGGCTATGGAAGATAGTGAGGTAATTTAGCGATCTTTGATTAAGATGACTGAATATGTCTAGTTTAATTTGCTGTCCAATCTGTCTACTTCTGATGGCCCCTCACCATGATATCCAAACATCAGATACATCTAATATTTCTATCTGTATATTTAATTTAATCATATCTATAGATGTAACTATATAAGCTTTTTATAATCAAAATGGTATGATATTATTTACTAGTTACTCTAAAAAATGTGTTGCTCTGGAAAGGATATGTACTATTGAAAACATGTATGGTGATTAGTAAGGGGATTTGGCTTGAAAAAAATATTTTTAAAGGTATATTGTAAAACTCAGTGACTCATATTCATCTCTCGTATAACTCCATATAAACCAATGGGATTTACACTGGGAATTTATCAGAATCAGTAGTTGTGTATTTAAATCCAGGATTTATTTACACTGAATCTTTTGCATGTCTTTATAGTGCAGTGTATAAAGTAACTTAATTTCCTTCTGTTTCAGTGAGACCTAAACTATCATGCTGTATTTATAGATTTATTTAACAAACTTTAATTTGAGAATGAATTGCTTTTGTTTAAAATATAAATAAATAAAGAAACTTCAAACCCTAAAATGTCAGTGAGGTTACTTTTCTTAAGAAACTATTAATAGTAATAGATTTTTTTGTCTGTGTTAGAGTGCAAGATGTGAAGAACTCCACCTTCATGCAGAAAACCTGTCCAGGCGTGTCTGGGAACTGTTAATGCTTCTACCTACATGTCCTAACATGTTACAGGCATTCCAAAATATTTCAGATGAACAGGTCAGCCAACAGTGTTTGTTTTAAATATATATAATCTGTAATTCAGTTACACTTTTTACAGTGAAATTTTTACAATTTACCCAAAATTGAATAATGATTGATCCAACAGAGTTAAGTAAAAAATAACTGATTTCTGCAAGGGGGACATTGTCTTGAATAAAAGACAGAACAGTTTCAATAATAATACATCAGGACAGCTCATAGAGATGTATATATTCTCTGGCTTTGTATTGGGTATAGTGAGAAAATAAAAAAAAAGGGGGGACCATTTTCACCTATTCTTCTCTTACTTTGTTGAAATAAAAATCAAAAGAAGCCTGTAGCTTTTCTAATTTAGTTTCCTGATTTGTGTCTTTTAAGGTAACGGGTTTTATTTTTGTAAACAAGAATTAAATAAGTAAAATGATTAGTGAATGTTATCACTAGTGACTTTACTGGGTCATGTTGAAATTAAATCTCATACATCTTCAGTTGTACAAAGCAAGTTGAAGCAATTTATTTCTTATTTTCAAGTCTTCTTTGGGTTTCATTTTAGAAGTAAATATCCTTAGATATACTTGATCCTAAAGCAATATTCTTGAACTCTAACCTACAGATTATATGTGGCTTTAAAACTGAATCTTATGTTGTTATTTGCCTTTTAGTATGCCTTGTTTTAAATCCCTCACTCCACCTTTCATAATTATAAAATACAATAGCAACAACCAGGGCCGGCTCTAGGCACCAGCAAAACAAGCTGGTGCTTGGGGCGGCACATTTTTAGGGGCGGCATGGCCGGCGCCAGAATGCCGCCCCTAAAAATGTGCCCCGGCCGCCCCAGCTCACCTCCGCTGCTGCTGCCATGGTGCGCGAAACAGCTGATTCGCGCGCCGCTACTCGCCCTCCCTCCCAGGCTCTCAAACCTGGGTAGGAAGGTGAGCA